GTTTCACTTTTAAAACAATTGCATTAATAAGAGGTTACACCACTGTAGAAGTCTAAAATAAAGCGTTTTTTTACGATTTTTTTTGAATGGAAGGAAAAGTAAGAGAATAATAATATTCAAGGATGTAATTCATCATGTTTTTAAGTGTTCAAAATAAAATATTTATTCAATAATAGTACAAAATGGCGACGCTGCAGCCATTCTCGCGAGACATGTTTAATTTTACGCGCTCTGCGGCACGCAGTATAACTGACACTTTGAATCTAGAAAAAAAAACAAAAAATTTTCTCTTAATCTACATGAATATAGCTAGAAAATTACGTAGGGGATTTTGAAAATATTAATTTTTGTGTGATTGGCGAGTATTTGAAGTAAACAGTTCAATTTTTAACAAGAAAGGGGCAATCATTTGTTAATAATATAAATAATGTTAGAATCAACTTATCAAAAATCCCGTACGCATTTCTTTTCGAAATGCTATTTTAAAGATATGGTCAAAATTTGGAGTGAATAGAATGAAAATTGTTGGACTTATGCTGCATGCCGTTTTAAAAAATCGTGTTTCGAAAAAAACGCCTTTAAAGTTTTGAGATGTGTTATGGACGGGAAAAAATGAAAAATTTGACTGTTTAAAAATTTTTACCATTAATCTGCTCTCCCTGAACCATAAAAAGCTGCCTTTCCCTGCTTAAATATTCCTCCTCATTTTCTTTCTTCGTCGATTTTATGCTGGTGCGTGCCTGTTTTGCCGCATCTGTCAAAGACTGCTCGACGTGCTTGATCCGCATAGCATCGGCTTCAAGGCAAAAATTGTATGCTTGGAGGCCAATATCCATCTCCAAAATTTTCATAATTTGCAGAATGTTAGTCAAATCGTCGTTAAAATTACACACAGCAATATCAGTCGCTACTTGCAATACTTTTTTGCCACTTGAGTAGGACTTAGAAGCCAAGTTCCAAACAGTTGCATTGAAACTTTCGTGAAGTTAGAAATAAAAAAAGTCATTAGGCTGGTGACCCTTCCAGCAGGTATCTACGTGCCGCAGGTAGTCGTTTCGGAGCAGTCCGACGCGCTTGGAAAAAAGCTCGGAATTTCAAAGAAAAAAATTTGGTACAGGTATAAAACTATTTCTTCTTATTCTAGAAGATTCAAAGCATCTTTTAAGCCAATAAAAAAAAATCGATTTTTTGAAAATTCTACAGTGGTATTATCCCAAGAAAACACTGTAACGCCGATAACTTCTTTGTCGTCTACCGATGCTTCAGCTCAAAGCTCATATTTTCTTCTTTACTCATATTTTCTTTTACTGGACTGATATTATTATTGTTTTTTTTATTAATCTTTTTTTTATCGCGTTAACTAAATATTTTTTTAATTTTTAGAGTATCTCGGGCAACATTCCCGTGATTTCACGTCCATGTACATTATTTTCCTTGTCGATCGATTTAAGCATTTCGCCAAATTAGACGTTAAAATAACGCGAGCGCGTGTCATGTATATTTCTGTCGACAATGTGATTTTGACGCGCGTGATTTCGATCGATTCGAACAATTCAGTATTCGTTAATTGCGTTAATTAACGTGTCGTAATTGTGCTCGTAAAGTAATCAAAGAGGAATCGAAATCAAACAAAACAACCAACGAAGTATGCGATCGCCGAAAATTGAAGATTACATGAAAAATGCTGATGGGACAATGTCGAGAGCCGAAGAACACCGGGTACGGTGAGTATTGTACACACATTCTTAAGATGTTTTCCAGCATGACTCAGCTGGGAATTCGTCGAAATCAGTGCGATATTTTGTATAAGCGACAGATCAGATGTGTTTGAACAAGACATACGTGAGTCAGCTTTAAACTGTTACCAATTATACGTGTAGATACGTTTTCCATACGTACATATGTTTCTTTGCTTTATTTTTATTTTACCTGCTGATAATATCAAATTGAATTTTACTTCTCACCAGATTGCTTCATTTTTGGGAAACAAAATAATCGTAACAATTTTTAAATACCACTATTTTTAATATTTAAAATGTGTTCAAAAACTATTATGTTCAGAAACTATTCTCGTATTACGGCAGCAAAATTGTCAGAATTTCCATGAAAAATTTCCCATTTTTATTTCTTGCGTAATCATACTTAGAAACACAATTTAGAGTTGAGAGTCATTTTTCATTAGTTAATCCTATGATTGAACATCTTACTGTACTTTTAGGTATATCTCCGGTATTTTAATCCTCTTGCTAGCTCTTGCTACTCTGTGCCGCAAACTGTCTTTCGTTGAATAATAGTGATAGTTGACGTAGCCCTACGTCTACTTTCCTTCGCTGAATACTTTAACATGAAATAGTGACGATTGACGTAGTTCTACGTTGTTGTTTGCGGCACAGTTGTTACTGTGCCTGTTTTTGTTTTTCTTTATATCTTTATATACTTAGTAAAATAATGCATATTTAGGTAAATAAAACCGTTACCCACAAATTGGTCCAGGAAAGTTACAGATTTATTTAAAATAGAAATCTTTAAATTTATAAAAATTTCATCATTTAAGTTATTATTATGTACGGAAATTTTATACTAAAATTTTGGACGACACGTTGAAATTTTGAACACTTTAGACGACGCACGTTATCTCGGAATTCCGATCGTCAATGTAAATGTTTAGTTTATCTTACGGTTTTCAGACTGCCGTTTACAAGCTGAGACTCAGATGGAGCCCAAAACTACGCTTCTAGAAGCTTCTAGAAGCTTCTAGAAAACCTCCCCCCTTGAAACGCGTAGAAAGTGGTGAGAATCTCGCGCGGGGGGTTCTGGCCATTTTCGGGTATAAATAGGACGGAAAACGCCGCGGAGACACAGATAGTTTTTAACTTCAGCTCTAATACATCGTTTATAGCTTCGGCTTTGTTGGTCACACAGTCTTAGACTTCGGCTCTCGACCTCTTATTCGTTTTGCGTATCACATCTATTTGCTACAGTCCCAGACACTAAATCTGCAAAGATGCGTGCGTTAGCTTTTCTCGTATTTATCGCTTTGGCATACGCTATTCAAGGTACGAATTCATAAATTATTATAATAAATATTTTACCATAATAAAAAAACCGATATAGAGATAGATATAGAGAGAGGTACAACTACGTGTCTTTCTAATAATACATATAGATAGTATAAAATAATTATTTTCCAACATAAGCAAAATTATCAGTAATAGCATAAATATCCGTTTTATAGCATTTATAGTTTGTGTAAACATTTCTGTACGCATGTGTAATATATATATATATAATACTTCTAAAAATAATTAATTATATAAACGGATATAGAAAAATACATACGTATCTTTGTATTATCTAAATAACGTGTAACTTTAACGTTAAAAATTAATATGGCGCGAACAATAAAATTTTTGTTCAATAAAAGATTTTTATTCTAAATAAATCTGTAACTTTCCTGAGCATATTACGGTTCACTTAGCTGTAAAACTGACACAATGTTTTATTGTTATTGTTAAAAGTGTATGTAGTAATGTAACAAATATTAATTTCGGCGTATATTAACATGATTAATTTATTTTTGTCCATAAGGAGCTCCATCACCTCGTATCATCGGCATCGGCTGCAACGGCATCGGCATCGGTGGAAAGGATGCTCCCATCGGCAAATTTCCGTATCAAGTTTCATTGAGATATAACGGTAAACACTATTGCGGTGGATCTATCCTCAATAATCGTAACATATTAACCGCAGCACTTTGTGTTGGAAGGTATGTTACATTCAAACATTCTGAACCTATGTCAATATCTCATTACTGAAATATAACTCTAAAACTAGTCTTTTAATATATCAAATAGGCATAATATGTAAGACTATTAAGTATATACATACTTATACGTTCTTTTTTTTATTGTTAGGTTTCGGGATCGGTTAAATGATCTTAATAATCTAAAGGTCCATGTTGGAACAAACTTCTTGAACGAATCAGGAGATGTTTATGACGTAGAAAGTGTTAGCATCCACGTTATTCATTCATTGTCAGACAGTGATGACATCGCCTTAGTTCATCTTAAAACTCCTCTGAAATACAGCACGCTAGTGCAACCGAT